AGATGCTGTGTAATCCTGCACGCCGTGGGAGTAAGCAACATGCTCATATAGTCATCCTACTGACACCAGCTGGCACCACCAGTTTGACACCATACACCTGGGTGACTCTTCGAAAACAACTATCCTTGAAGGTCCGGATTAGAATTGATCATCAGCAACTCGTGCTAGTCGTAACAGGCTACTAACGGGATCGGGATTATTTGCAGACCACAGGTCATCGTATTGCAATTTCGAAGATCGATGATCATGATGTTGATCACTGGATTGTCTGATCCAGACTTTGCAGACCTCTGTCATATAGCTGGAAGATTGCTTGAGGTGAGGTGAGGTGAAATTAGGTTTAACGTCGTGCTTGAGAATATTTCGCTCATATGACGACGTGCATGCGTGTATGTGTATGTGCGGCTGCTTGTACTAGCCCAGACTTAAGCTGGTTTTATAGTGCTAGCCCACTGAGATACCGTGCCGCAGTGAAGCATGAATACCCCACTCAGACACATTATACTGACTCCGAGCCGACCAGTCCTTGTTGTACCCATTAATGCCGAGCGCAAGGCAGGGACCAACAAGCAAAAGTATTTTAAAGTCTTTTGGTATGACGTGTTTTTGTTGTGGACTAATGCTTGCAAGATTTAAATCGTGAAGCTATCGATGAACGTCTTTATAAATGCACAGTAAAAACACACATCGAAGTGAAAAGCTGTCTATTATAACAAAGGATATACGCTAACGAGGGACAGCCAAACTGACAAGTGTTTTTGTTATGGACTAATGCTTGCAAGACTTAAATCGTGAAGCTATCGATGAACGTATTTATAATGCACAGTAAAAGCCATATAGTATCCCTTCAGCAATTTCAGTTAAATGAACAGGTAATAACAAACCAGTAAAATCAGCAAAAAGTTAAATCTGAGATAACGTATATACATGATGATTTTCGTTCTGCTATGCACAGTTTCTAAACAGAGATATTATATAGTGTGTGAGTTAAAATTCATGGTCACATCGGCAATATTTCAGCCATATCGTGACTAAAACAGTTAATATGTTAACAATAGATTATATAAAATCTGTCTACAAAGAACAGTAAAACAATTAGAAGATCACAATTTGAGGTATTAAAACTAGCATTTAACTTTAAAAATATATGAGTATTAGGGACAATACACTATACAAATGGGCTATAGAATTTGCGCCAACAACTGAAGGTAGATCACCATTGATTTGAAATTACAAAGATACCACGTTTTAATAAAACCCTGGTAAATTTAAATTTCTTTTGAATGTTTTCGGGACTTACCTACCTACGGACCTACCCTCTCAGGAGGACAATAATTTATAATACGTTAACCCTCCCTTGAGGATACAGGCACTAACAATCTAAGTTACTAATCTAAACTACCAATCGTTAAAATGCATCTATCCACAAAACATACTAATCAGAATTCATCAATCAAAACAATGATTAAATGAAAATTAACCAGAGATATAGTACTTACTATGTGAATGCATGTTCTTGTAAACTTCTTGCAGGAAACTACTAATCAAGTTGTTCGCACATTTTTCACAAATCTTGCTGTTATACGGTTAAAAAAACATCAATAATATAACTTCAATTTTTGTGGGGTGCCATGATTGAATGAAATTTATTTGATCAGAAACTATTTATTCCAATCTCTTGTTAGTTTAGTCGCAGCTTTTACTATATGTGTAGAACAAATAATAGCACTTTGGAATAATTGTTTGCCGTTTTGTCGGATATATGGTTTACGCATGGAAAAAATTGATCAGTAACCACTGACGCCTCATGCGTTCCTGCGACACCCAATGAATGAAAACGATATGCAAGTATCGTAATTACAAAGTTATATGTATAATATCCGACAGGTACCTTGTTCCAAGAATATTTCCGTCAATATCCACAAATAGGAACAATGTCCTATACATCTTAAGCTGTAAGAAAATTGATCGATGTCTTTGTAACAAGCTAATGTTTAAAACTATCTCAGCGTTTCGGGATATTATAACCCACGTTTGCCTTTCAATAGATCACGTAGGTTTCATTTGTTAAACACTGGTGGCGTGTCTCATTTGCCAGCTAAGATAACATACGTGATAAATACTTTCATGATATTCTCGGTTCTGTTGAAAAAAGCAAATTTAGAAGGCAATGAAAATAACCTATTGTTAATCCTTTGAATATAGTATGTTGTTCAAACATAGGCTTTAATTTATGGCTAGATTGTCTAAAATTGCTAGTAGCTTAATGGATGGTGTACATCCAGCAGGAAGCAAAAGTACTGTAAGTCCCTATCGTCCCTAGTATGATGACCTACCTTCATTTGTTGGCGATCTATAGCCTGTTTTTATCTTGATTGTCTTTCATACTTCAGATGTTTTAGATTTTCATACTAGCTTTACATTTATAACTGTGATGTTCTTGTTATTTTACTGTCCTTTGCAGACAGGTAAGTATTGATTTTATTCATTTATAAATTTACAACTATCTTAGTCACGATATGGCTGAAATACTGTCGATGTGACTTTAAATGGCCACTGATCCAGAGCAATGTCCGTGGACTGGTTGTTGCTTTTGTTATTGTTTTTCTCCCGTTAGTAACCGGATGATATCCAATAATTCTTGACTGGTTCGTGACCTCTGCTGCGCTACACGCAAGCGCAATTGATAGTATAAGTATAGACTGATCACCAAAGAGGAAATCGTTTTTACTCGATAATATTTCCATCTTCATTAATTTGATAGAATGAAACGCCCGTCTTTATATTTTTGTCTTATAATCCTCAAGTGCGACCTTAGTGTATGTTGTCTGTCTCATTACACTTCACGGCGAAAAAAATGATTCTGTATTAAATGCTACAACAAATGAATAAAAACACTATGCATTTCTATCTACCCTTTCCACGTACATTTCTATCTACCTTTCTTCTATGCATTTCTATCTACCCTTTCCCCGTGCATTTCTAACTACCGTTCCTCAATACATTTCTATCTACCTTTCTTTAATGTATTTCTATCTACCTTTCTTCTATGAATTTATATCTACCTTTCGTCTATTGACCTCTATCTTACTTTCTTCAATGTATTTCTATCTACCTTTCTTCTCAGCATTTCTATCTACCTTTCCTCAATGCATTTCCATCTACCCTTTCTTTATGCAATTCTATCTACCTTTCCTCAATGCATTTCTATCTACCCTTTCTCTATGCATTTCTATCTACCTTTCCTCAATGCAGTTCTATCTACCTTTCGTCAATGCACTTGCATCTACCTTTCTTCTACCTTTTAACCTTTTAAAGAATCATAATTTCTTTTTTTTCAAATGAAAATCAGAGTGTGGACTATCAAAGGGAAGTAACTTATTTGATGCTATTGGAATTCTGAACTGTTTCAAAACCTTGTTCTGTGCATATTTGCCCTTTCGATGTTTTGCTAAATCTGCGAGTGTGTGCCACATGTTCCCCCGCTTTAGCCAAGGAGTAAAGGAAGGGATAAAAAATATGGAACACATAATCTTTCATTTCTGAACGGTGTGGCTTTTATCTTTGAAAAAAGAAATGTTCATTTTCAGCCTTTGAACGTGAATGTACGATGAAACATTCGTCTCTGTCAGTTTACCAAGCAATTCATATGAAATGATGGATGCTAAGCTTCAACGGGTGCTGGCACAGAACATTTATCTTGTATCTTGAAGGAGTTTACTTCTTCTTTGCTGCACCATGTTAATGTTAATCCCACAGCGATGTGACCCGTGGAGATGTACATGTCTTTCACAGATTTACATATGAAAAAAGGAAGGAAGCAGGACAAACGTATGTCTTAAACCTTTGTCCTGTCCTTAAACAGTATTTCAGTAAGATTGGAGTGAGTGAGTTTAGTTTTACGCCCCTTTAAATAATATTCCAGCAATATCACGACAGAGAACACCAGAAATGTGTCACACATGCGGGGAATCGAACCCGGGTCTTCGGCGTTACGAGCCAACGCTTTAAACACAAGGCTACCCCACCGCCCCACAGGCGATACACTTCTTGCGTCACATTACACATAATTGACGTCAGCGTCCTCGTGTTTCAACTTTAATAGCTAATTTTACTTCATTAAATGAATATTCTTAAGATATATAGAGTCAAATATGACCGAGCGTGATTCAATGACCTCATGGCTATCATTCAATTGTGGATTGACTGCACCAAAGCATGACCCAGGACTCAATATCTTAAAACAATCGCCGTTTCACCGCGTGTTTCTGATTCTATATCTCCCAAACAAGATCATGATCTAGTTAAAGCCAGGGTTTCAGTATATCCATTCTGGATACTGTATTCTATACCCAACGTTTGATCTTGATTTACAATCAAGGCTTTACTACATCAGTAGTACCCCTGATCAGTGGCCACACTGCATTGAACATACAACCACTATTGCGATTCAAAGAACTGAAGGACTATTCATGATCTTTACAGAACTGAATATGGAAAATGTGAACGTCATATAACTAGATCTGTTTTTGTTAAATTTCCGAAACAGAATGCACCTAAGACATTCTTTTGGCAACCAAGGAGGCCAATTTTAGTTGCTTTGAAAAACAAACGATATGTAGCCATGAAAATGTGTACCTGTGATCATAAAGGTTCGGTTTAGATGCTTGATTGGCATTTTAGAAGATGCTATTTGATGAACATAAAGAATTATCTGCATTTCGTCTTCTTTTTAATCTTTGATACAACGTTTCGGGGATTGTTCTGGTCCAGTAAACTGTATATTAGGCTTCACCTGATGTTGTATCAAAGTATCAAAGAATAAAAAGGAGATGAAATCCAGGAAATAATTTATGATCATACAAGTTCGGTGAGGTCAAATCAGCTCTTTTCGTCAGAGGCTACAAGTGTTAAACTTCGGAATCAAGCATGTTTCAAATAAAGTATACAAATTGCATTGATAAGAGAGATTCTGTTTGCTGACAAATAACACTAGCACGTTTGTGTTACAGAAGTTTATTTCAATATATACTGGCTCCTCTTATAATTACAATGTTTCAAACAAATTTTGTTGGAGAAAAACAAGTTACAATTCATAAATAGAATATAATACATGAAGATATACGAAAAGAAAAGTAACAATTCATGTATGTAGATTGTATACGTAATGATTTCTCCTGGTAAACCAGTAAAACCACAGCCAGGACAGTGTCACGACATCAACTACAAGTATGTACCTGAAATGATTAAACATGTTTCTCAGCCATTTCATAGAATTACCGCGAGAATGGTAGTAGGTCCAACTGCTAATCGCCATCTCCAGTCGTTGAGTCTAACAATATCACAATATAAGTATTATGGTTTTCACTAACAATATTGATATCCCGCCCTATCATTTAGTATTTCTAGCAAATACTTGGGATCATGTCTACCTTTCTACGTGTGCTGAGGTAGCCTGCATGTTAATGCACAGAATCTGTCACGTCAAATATTAAGTTCCTGACATTTCTACGATGCGTGATGTGGCATCTGAACCCATTCAATCACTAGTTCATTTCGAGGCATGCCCCGAAATAGTGATATTTATGGGACGCTTCATTTGATCGTTTCCCAAAACGCACGGATCAGCCTTAATTCTGAAGTTGTTTCACAATAATACCAAACACAACTGTATTGCAAAAACTACATGACATGACATAATCTTACTGATAATCACACCAACACATGTACATTCCTCAAACACATTTGTTTAGTTATATTATCCTGTGACCCTTTAATTAAGCTTGAAATGACATTCTTTAGAAGAATAGGGAAGGTGAGGCGTGGGCGGGCGGTGGGCGATGGGCGGTGGGCGGTGGTTAAAGCGTTTGCTCGTCATGCTTAAGACTCGGATTCGATTCCTCACATCAGCTCCGTGATATTGCTTGAATATTGCTAAAAGCTGAGTAAAACTATACTCGCTCACTCTTTGAAGAATTTTCCAAATCTAGACATTCTGGCCATTCGATATTAACTTTTAGGCTGGAAAGCTTGAAACCTTTTGTTAAATCCTACTTATAGGTATGGTGGTAAAAGCATGCCTCCTCCATTCCACTGTGGTAAGAGACTGAAACGAACCTACCCCAAAGTGAACACTATACGATTGCTCCTTTTAATAGTATTTCAATTATCTTCCATCTGAAATAGGTTCGTAGTGAAATACATTTTAACGCATATATACGTTATCCTGTAATAATTATATACGAAACAAGTTTTCTTTGACATTACAACAACGTCTTCAAACGTCTTCTTCTCACGTACTCCACACTTAATGTGGACTCCTCACCACAGTATCTCAAAAACCTTCTTAATCTGTACCAGCCCGCAAGAACTCTCAGATCCTCAACCAAGCAGCAACTCTCCATCCCATCAACATTTACTCAACTCGCTGAAAATGCCTTCTATGTATATGCTCCTCGACTCTGGAACTCCATCCCAATGAACATCAAATCTGCTGACTCTGTTCAATCCTAAAAGTCTCTAAAAATATTTTGGTTTAGCCAATAACTTTTTCCACTGCTTTCCTCAAAAGCGCCGTTGAGCAGGCCTAGCCTGGAACTTAGGCGCTATACAAGTGAATTATTCTGAATACATACAAACTCCATACACAATCCCTATTTTATGTGAGCTAACACACTAAAACGCACACGCACACGCACCACGCATACGCACAGGCACACGCATCACCCTTGAGGATTCGGGTTATAATTGGTCTTCAGCAGCCCATGGTGGTCGTAAGGCACATGCCATCGTATCCCATTTGCGTAGATCGATGTTCATGATGTCAGTCACTGGATTGCCTGGACCATATTCGATTATTCGTCAATATATAGCTTGAATATTGCTGAGTGTGGCGTCGAATAGCAAACAAACTGATGAAATGCGAATCAGTAGCTCCGGTTTAACGTGCATGTGAGGGTAAACTTCTACGCACAAGTACATCTCAAACAATTCCTTTCAGGTGCAACAGAACGTCACACATTTCGATGTGGATCTTGCCCAATGATAATTGAAGACTGCAAAACAGTTCAAGATTTGAGAAGACAAACTATTTACAGTCTGAAACGACATGAAGTGTCGCAGTTGAAAAGTTCAGATTGTGTTGTTTCATGTGGTAGGCAACTGAATGATAAACATTACTGTACACACGCAACAAATTCAAGATCCAAGTATAAACGCATCGATGAATTCTGGTTGAGCATGTTCATTTAAGAAATATTTTATCACTCAAAATGATTCTCTGTAAGTCTGTATGTCGTGATCCGTCATTTCCAAACAGTCGAAGGGCGCGTCCTTCCATACCTTGCGATGATGTTGCTTATTACGACTGTCGTAAGCCATTAGATTTTTAATGGCCAACACAACCCATTTGACATCCCTGTACACCATCCCAGAGCCCCACTCATGATTGCACTTCTTGCAGTGAATTTTACTGACCTTCTTTAAGTCGTCAATCACAATGGATTTCTTACTTTTCACTGTGATTAACTTGCCAATATTGGACGTCACCACCATATGATGACACGAGTTCACAATTCGTATATCAGACGAGTCACATATGTACACATCGCATTTGAAGCACTTGAGTCGATATGTCGCAAGGCTTTTCGGACCCTTTAGAGAAAGTACTTTTTTGTCGCTCTCTCTCAAGTTTTTGCTTCCTTTGGATTTGATCTATCGACTGACGGAAGGTGGCGGGATCTTCGTCGAGCTCCTTTTGTAAGGCATCAACTGCGTCATTCATAATGGTCTCCAACACGGCGTTGGTTTCTTCTTGTCTCGCCAACAAAGGGTTCCCGGTTATGAGACAGTACGTGCCATCCTCAACACGCGATGCTCGACCTTGACAAACACAGAAAGTGGACATGATATACATGGTGCCTATAATATGGAGCAGACTGCAGTTGAACAGAGCCGACAAAAATAAACCTCGACAAATAATGAGGGCAGAGCTGGGATTTGAACCGATTTCCTATGTTTCTGACACTTCCGAATTGACGCAAACCTACTCATGAACTGAGTCGACTTAGTAAGCTGGTGTGTAGAACATCTTGTTTCAGTCTACTAAGTCGACTCAAATTTGTGAAAACTGCAGATAAACACAAATCGTGTTTTGAAATAAACATATCAATCTTGTAAAGTAAAATCGAATTGATACTCATTAAAAACCTCTTACCTCTTGCTTGGATCATCCCTATCTCGTCAGACACATACTCGTATCTGATGACTAGACTGCACGTCGTGATGTCCATTCCCTCCTCAGCCACAGAAGTTGCAACTGCCACACGACTTGTGCCCCACTTGAAGCTTTTACAGCTTCAATCTGCTGAGGACGGGTCATGCCTGGAACAATATCAAGTCTAACATTCGACTTCGGTATGTCTTTTTGAAGCAGAATACTTTTGGATTTGTCAAGGCAGTTCTGGCAACATAATACTTTTTGAAAAAATCAACACAATTTGATATATTGCTGTGCTCGGTGTTAACCATAGGTGATAAAATTAATGATATGTTTCGCACGAAGCCTAATCGCCTCATCTCTCGCACAAAGCGCAATCGCCCATTCCCGGATCACACGTTTTGACATTTTTGAATCCGAATAACATCACGCTAACTGGAAGCAGTTTGTGTCACTTGCGTGGCATACTGGTTGCTCACTAAGTCTATTTTGGTACTTCATTGTCTAACACCTACCTCCTGCATCACTTGGTGCTCCACAGCCTGTGACGATCACCGGGTTTAGATGTTTAGTCTCCGTGGTCTCAGTCAACACTCGACAGAGGGCGCCAGCGAGTGAACGCAATTTCACAAGAATCAAAATCCTTGAAGTCTGATTCTTTTTTACTTGATTCATCACTTCCAGCTTCAGTAAGATCAGGCGTGGGTTCGAGAATGCATGGGATTTCGATTCTGCTTCAAGCCTCCATCGATTTTCTGCAACAATTTAAGATACAAACCTAAAATGCCGCCCAAAATTTACCAGTTGTGTATACATAAATATACTTGCTCCCCTGTACGACCCAGTTTAGGAAACGAGAGAATAGTTTTATAATCGCATTCGCTCGTCTGGTGCTGGACATATTCAGCTATTTAAAGAAATTGGTATTACACATTTCTTTATGACCCGTGTAGAGTTTGTTGATATTGATCTCATACCTGTGTGGAGTGTTTAGATATTGATCGTGTAACTTTGTAAAGGCAGTTGATATTGACATCGTACCTTTGTACAGTCCGTTGAGCCAATTCTCTGTATCACATCCGACATTCGCCACACTGTCACCGAAGGCCTTCTCAATGACAAGCATCCCGTCGCGAGCTCGGCAATGTTGGTTGATGAATAACGACTGGTTATATATCTGAGAATGGCAATTTTACATTTGTCAATAACAGTAACATCACAAATCGAGACTGGTGCAGAAAGGTGAGAAAATAAACACACAAAGGGTCAGTCGTGCTATATGTGTATATGTAAGCGGGTTTAGATCACACAAGTATTGGGCTACCATTCTGATGAAATCTAAGACCATGGTGAGGAATCGTTCAGACTAAGCATACAACTCCGTGTGAACGCGCGTACATACGCACATACGTACGTACATACGTACACACACACACACTAAGTCATACATACACACATACATACATACATACATACATACATACATACATACATACATACATACATACATACATACATACATCCATGTTGGAGCGATCCAGGGTATTTAATAAAATTGAATTTTCATGAGTATGAAGGGCCTCGTTATATTTTGTGTACATTGGCAAAACTTCATAAATATTTGCCGTGTTTATATGCGTGTATGTTATGTATATACTCACGATGAGATGCTGAACACATGTGATGAACGAACGACGAAAGCTGGCACTTCTTATGGCAGGAATAACGGTATAGTACAGCTTACTGAGCCATTGGTGGTATGTCATTGTACCTCTGATTGCAGATGCCTTAAACCTGCCTCCAAGTGGTTCGTCCTCTCTATCAAATCCAAGGTAGGCTAGGAACAGAAAAGTCAAATAGTGAAATTGGAAATGCAAGCAAGTGCCAATCAGAAGAATAGGAACTCTTCCCTCAGATCAGACTTTTCGGACATCCAGCATGTCCTGACGAATGTCAAACTAAATCTTTGCATATGAACTCTACGCATTTTCCATTTTACATGCATGTGGGTGGATAAAATTCGTTTACGTGAGTGATTTGAAACAATGATCAGCGAACCAGATATGTGTTTTCAACAGGAATGTGTTCGTAATTTAGGTTTGGTGCTTCTGTTACGGCTGAAAGTGATTTCTGTAGGACAAACTATGATGAACACAGTCGTGGGCGCCAAAATTATGCTGTACGATGTTGAATGATCGTGACACATGGAACCCAACAAACCACGAACTCTGAAATTCGTCTCACACGACAGAGGAAACGGCATCTTCATTGCATGTGGAATGTGGACAATGATATACCTAAACAGCTTCGTCATCAAGAAGATAATGTCCTATTGAACGTTACACGTTGAAGAACAAGAGTGCCATGTCGTGACTACCATCGGACACAGATATCGTTTGTTTTAAAGGGCAAGCTAGCAGTGAAATTTACATGAAATTATATGGACCAGTGAAATTTATGGATCCACATGAAACAACACGGGCTTATGATTTGTACATTTGTATAGTATGTGTTATAGATATAGAACGTTGTATAAACTTTACTTACGCTCCTGACTTGTCATACGTGTTTCAATCTCCGCCATAATGGCCTCCACGGCTTGCTTAAAGGGGTCGGACGGTCGTTCCTTTGTCATCTTGATAGCTTAATCATAAGAAAGCATTAAGATAAATATAGTGTTGTTTGTTGTTTAGGTGAGTAATACAGTCATGATGAGCATCAATCAAATGTATTTGTGTACGATGACATACAGCAACACAGTCAGCGTGTCTGACCGATCTTTTATTCATTTCCAGTAGAGATTACTTTTGCAAAATATAACGTGCTATACATAAGTCGTTGACACTGCGTCTCTCGTGTAATGCTTTACAATTTGTGTCATGAATTGTTTATTGATATGTAAAAGTTGAAACGTGATATACTTGTATTTAGACGTATATTATCTAGTACAACACGATTATATCGGTATATCGCAATACGCTTTTCAAACGATACATGATGATAGTATATGATTTTGTGATTATCTCTATGGTTTACGTTAAAATCTGACTCTGAGCTTTCCATTGTAATCAATTAACAAAACACTATATTTTAATCACAATAAATGTACGAAAAACATAATGCAATCACTCAAAATCAAATATAAATTCTAGATTTCAAATATCGCAATATACATCGAAATACCGAAGAATCGCAATATATTGCAATATAATTTATTTGCCAAAACACAGCCCTAATATTAACAACGTGAAAGTAGTACATTTGTAGCAGGAGGTCGCCTTGAATATTTTATGAGGACCGTATTTGTCGATACAACTTTGGTTACAGATGCAAATGTAAAGTGTTTGGAACACATTACCTGTCTCCACGAAATGGGTGTATTCGTCTAGATTCTCCTTGTTCCTCCTCACTGTCACCAAGCCCCCTGTAGCATCCAGTGTGGCACACAGGGCTCTGATGTGACTGATAGCTCCTTTCTTTAACGTTGCTTCCTTCTTCTTCCCTACTCCAACGGATGCTGTGAGCCCAACCACCTACAACGAGTCAGCACAGTTTAACACCAGACAAAGCAATATTCATATTTCGACAATGTCACCCAACCATGTACAACGAGTCAACGTAGTTCAACACCACGCAGAGCAATATTTATATTTCAGCAATGTCGACAAACCAAGTACAACGAGTCATCATGGGTTAAGCGCCTCCAGAGCAATATTCATATTTCAGCAATGTCACCCCACCACCTTACCTGCAACGAGTGAATCAAGTTCAACGCCACACAGCTATTTTCATTTTTCAGTAATATCGTGTTATGGTTAGGTTTGATATTGTAAGGACAATAACGCAAAAGTGTCTCTTCTAGAAGTGAATATAGTCCTGCAATATCACGCCGACCTGTAACATATACAATATGGCATCGGAACAGGGGTTAATATTATGAGCTTTGTCCCTCCCGGCTACGGTGACAGGCAATTAATCTATGAGATTTGCTCTTAAAAATATTGAGATAGAAATTTATTCAGATGTTGTGAATTGGAGTAGGTGACCCTTATGATGAATATCCAAAATAGCTCTGTAACTTTATAACGAAATGTGTGAAATTATATGTGAAATTACTGCTTGCTCTTGTAATCGTCATAAGATTCAGGCTCGTACTTTTACTGACAAGGACTGTATTGATTAAAATGTACCTTCGTTTTGTTTCAGTTCCATGTGAAGCCCTGTCATGTTGTCATTCACTGAAATATTCATAAACGCTGATGTTGATTAAACGGGCATGTGACCCTAGTTACCCTCACTTCGCCGTCAACGAAGTTATGATCTTAATAAATGGACGTATACTCAACAATAAAAGATACGCACGTGTACATGTGGCCTTAAAGCGATTCCAAAGGGATACATGGGACACACACTCTTCCCCAGCTCACACTCTACCCCAAACACACATCGGCAATGCACCCACGTACATCTATCCCCGCAAACACATCCAGCCTCACAATACACGCACACCAGCCAAAAAAAACACACGCCACCACCACAACAAACAAACCAGTTCCGAAACACTAACTCAAGCCCTCAGCACACACGCACGCACACGCATGCACACGCACGTACCACGATCCCACTCAAAGTTGAAAAGGTATCTTTGGCGATAGATGTATTTCATGAATATCCAATGTCATGCACAACCTTTACAGTTTCAGGTGCTACAAACCTGTGGCAAAGGTGCCATTCCTTCCAGTTTCAGGTGCTACAAACCTGTGGCAAAGGTGCCATTCCTTCCAGTTTCAGGTGCTACAAACCTGTGGCAAAGGTGCCATTCCTTCCAGTTTCAGGTGCTACAAACCTGTGGCAAAGGTGCCATTCCTTCCAGTTTCAGGTGCTACAAACCTGTGGCAAAGATGCCATTCCTTCCAGTTTGAGGTCGAGGTATTTAGTCATGACCCTGTTGGTAGGGTGATTGGACAACACATGGTGACACTCGTCAAACACAAGAAGGGTAAAAATCGACAAGGAGTCGATGGCTTTATCTGCAATGGCATCTACAATGATCTGTGGTGTCACGAACAAGAGGTCAGTTCTGAAAAACAGAAAGCAGTGACTGAAGGCATCTGAGTTTTTCACACCTACAAAGAGGTGTAGAAGATGCATTTTGTACCATACGTAAACTGAAACTGCGAAAATCATGAATAGATAATCATGTGTGAGTTTGGGAAGAACCAAAGTGGTATAATAATGACTCGACTTAACATGCTATGATTACCAGCCAGCCCAACCCCGAAGCGGTTTATGTGAGTAAGTGAGTTTGGCTAAATGAACCTTTGACACTTGATTTCAGTGTAAAACCCGAAGTGATACAAGCCTCAGATGTTTATCATTTAGGTGAATCCCTCGAGCACGGGTTGGTTTGATCGAAAAAGAAATATAGTATGGGATTCGAACGCACAAACAACTGTTTCCGACGATGTTAAATACAAGGAGGGCCCTTTACACAATGCCCGCGAATGGACCACTATCATATTGTTGCAGATAATGCACATTGTGCACGTATCTACAGAATTGAGTTTCATCAATATATAGCAGAGGTGAGACATATATCTTTTATTCCTCTACGCATAATATTGGCTGATTCTCTCGCTGTTGAATAACATCTTACATTTCTGAGATAAATGTTCCAGAATGTAGTTTTAATGAACTCCAGTCATCACTGACAAGATTAGATTGGTACATGTCATACTATTGGTGTTTAATTATGACCCTCAAAGCCAATTCGTCATTCCGATTCGTGTAGATCAAGTGTCCATTGTGGTAAATGTAATGTGCACTCACTGTCTGATAAAATCCCCAATGGGTATTTTGCTCTTTCCTTTTGTTTCCCCAACAATCATTTCGATCTTGATCGAGTCTTCTATATGTCCTTTACACATCTCATACTGCTGGTCCACAAGCGTAACCTCATTGGCAAAAAAGACAACTTTCCCGAGACCTTGCTTCTTCTCAAGGTGCTCCTGTACAGAGAGCAAACGATCATCACTATCACTTTACCAATGAAACTGACAGAAGCCATACACACTGTCAATTTGACCACCATTCACAAAGTCCATGACGAAACTGAATTTTTAAAGTCCGTTGTTTGTGTCTCACTTCTTTTTGTAAATCCTAATATGAATCAGTGTATAAGGGTCATAGTATGATAATGAACGCTGTACGGACAGTATCAGTGGACCATGTACTTGGATGGTAAATTGATTGTTTTTAAACATATTAGAACTTAGAAAAGCCCTCTCCATCAAATTGATTGAGCAAGACATACACATAAGATTAAATGTTTAGTCATATCGGGAATGACATCGTGTGTATGCCAACATCTAAGCAGCTAGAGGTGATACACGTGGGATATTAATTTTTGTCCAAGAGTGTTTGTGATCAAAATCGTGTATACATTTTTTTTTAAATTACAAAGTGGTGGCATTTATTGTTTTGTTCAGAAAATACCTGCATGATTCTGAGAGCCACCACTGTCTTTCCGCATCCAGTAGGTGCTACAATGATGACGTTGTTCCCGTCGGCTGCTGCATTCACCAATTCGTCTTGGTAAGGTCGGTTTTCGAGAGGTTTGATTACGTTAGCTCGTGTCTCCATTAGGTCATGTGAAACAAAGTCATACTCGTTGAGGTCTTGGAGTGCGTTGTCCTCGATGCTTGAAACCACACTCCCATCGTCAATGTCTGAAAGGAACATGCATACCATATACGTCCCAAGATGTAAGTCAGTTCGATGCATTTCAATTTTGTCTGACAACTTTAGAACTGATGCAAAATAGAGTATCAAATAAAGAAAGTGAGTGAGTTGAGTTTTACCCCGCACTCAGCAATATTAATATTCCAGCTGTATGCCGGCGGTCAGAAAAAATTGAGTTTGGACCTGACAACTCAGTGATCAACAGCATGAACTTCGATCTACGCAATTGGGATACGATGACATGTATCAACCAACCGATCCCCTTAGTCGCATCTTACGACAAGCATGGGTTGTTGAATACCACTTCTGACCAGGATCAAACGGGTGAATAAAGAAAGTAACCAAATTGACAGATAAGTAAAATGTCAGAGGCATTCATCTTCTTTCAAAAGAGCAGACGGTATCTCTTGACAATCACCGGGAAAAGTATGACATCTATTATCCATAACATAGTATAATAGCTCGTACCTCTTGGTATGTCTAAAGTCTTCTCGGCCCACTTGTCAACCATGCGTCTATCCTTACGGGGGAGTCCTGGAAGGTCGCCACGTTTTGGTCCCGTTTTCTCAAGATACGTAAACTGATGAAGACTTTGGTCTTCGTGTGGGTTGGGATCCAAATTGTTTTCGAAGCTGTATGCATCACCTGAAGCTTATATTCAACACATCAATAAAGAAACGTTTGTATTGGCAAGGTTAAAACAGTTCATAATAATGGTGTACATTCCTGCTTCGCACAAATCCACACCCGGAGGCATGTTTACGGAGCAACATTTAAATACATACCTACATTTGTACAGCAATCAGTGAGGCAGATGTTCATCAATTATAGTAAACAGGTGAGTCTTTAGCTTGGGTGTATCCGGAGGTTCAGATACGTTTCGGTTAACGGGTAGAGAGTTCCACTAGACCCGGGCAACGTACGAAAACGATATGTGACCTAAAGTGTTTTGTTTGTAGTGTGGTACGCTCAGAGTTTGGCACTGTGAGTGATGTTCACGGTCTGGAACATTGGAAGAGATTAGCTCTGATATGAACGGTGGAGTCTGACCATAAAGAGACTGGGTGTCTTGAATTTAAACAATGTAGTTATTTGGGCACTGGTGTGATGCTACTCAGTTTAGCAGCCTACTATCCGGGCTTCTCTATTGTTGACCGTCTATAGCTTATCAAGGAGAATGTCAGCAACACCAGTATAGAGGCTGTTACACTAGTCTATCTAGTGACGACGAGTTATCCCAAACGAGAATGAGCAGCTTCAATGGTGATAAGAGGACGGATATTTCCAATGGTGCTGGTGAAAAGGGCCCTTCATGACTTTTGTAGCTGGACTTCTATGTATAGACTGGAGGCAGGGAATATAGTTAAAAAACAACATTTGTTTCTTTACGCAGGAACCTTAAGTGTATACAATTCCTCTGCAATTTTTAGGTATTAAGATACAGCTAGTCATTGTAATAATATAAATAAAAATATGTTAATGTTGTGGGTATTTCTAGATAGGGAGAAGTGAATGTTCTTTTCAGGCCAAAGTGGCACTTTGTTTCAAATGAATAATGAAGGCTTGGTAAACCAGGAGTGGAAAGTCTGACCAACAGAGAAATGCGATCCTCATTATAGTCTTCATTACAGATGTCGCTCAGAATATCTTTGGAATTAATAGGAAGTCCGAGAATGAGCATATGTAGGATGACAGCGTATACCATTTCATCGGGATCTTCGTCATATTGTTGCATACCTGACAAGGTATCCATTGAACATGTGCCATCGCTTCTTGTGTCGTCATCAGGAGAACTGCTACTGTCAGGACAGCCTGGACTACCTAAATATAAAGATGTAACCCTTCATCAAGGACAAATCTTCTCATATTAACATTTGTTTTCATCATTTTAAGGATTCTATTAGAACATATACATTATTGGTGAGTAAGCGTACCAGCAGCACATTCGACTCAAGGACACCACAGGAGTCACTCACTGACATCTCCTTCGATCCATTCAACAAGTTCGTCGAAGCCATGATCCCGTAGAAGCTGAAGAAACAGTTTGAGCCAGTGACGCTTGCGGCGAGGAAGGATCATCAGAACCAGCCACCGGGCTGCAGGGATCCTACCTGTTGTTGCAGCTATGTTTCTCAGGCGGTGAGCATCTTCGTCATCTGGTACAAGAAAGGGCGGTATATGAATACGGTTCATTTCGTCTCAAACGACTGTGTTGATGTGATAAATTAACATGTCTTCGATTAATGTACAACTGGTGTTCTCATATTTATAATACTTACACGCATATTTGATGATTAGATGGAAGGTTTGGTTTACGTCGTCAGTGTATTGACATCCACGCGTATCGTTTTAATTAGCAAATTATTAACTTCTTCCTCAATAGAGCAAGTTCGAGGTATTCAGATAAGTAAGTCAGCACTTAATGCACACAGTTTGAAGTTCTGACAACTTACCCAACCAGTTGTCCTGAACAAGGCACGGATAGAGAGCCTCAACATCTATTTTGTTACTGATGTCCTCAACAAAGAACTTCAAGAGTCTCATGTGGTCTGCATCTTTGTCGAGATCCGGTTCTCCCCTTCAGGAATCCTGCTAAGGCTTCATAACCTGAAATCAACAGAATTAAAAATGACTTCTTTGTATATTCAAAATTCAGCTGGAAGAACTAAGTAAGGTTCAGCTTGAATTTCGTATTTTATTAGTAAGCTCAGATCTTGTGTAATGAATATCGTGATATCTGCAGTTGTGTGTTTGTTTCACCTCTAAACTACAAAATATGTATTGTCATAGAAAGCGAAAAAATGAATACTAGCCTGACTTAAAACAGATCCAGCTTAATAAGGGTTGTATTTGATCAAAACAGTCGGAATTAACATTGTTATGGTGAAGTCCATGAGGTTCTAAAAGATGGAACTGTGAGATTCATCGCAAAAGATTACCATTGGTACATGTAAGGAAATATTTGTGCATTGTCAAAATGCATGACACTCCCCGTGATATCTCCCAATGCAGTGGTAACAGGTTGAAGAAATAGAGACAAATGGATGTAAACTAATGTTATTTAATGTCATGGCTTTAGTTATTTTGAAGTTGTAAATAACTCCTCAGCAGTAACACATATTACTAATGGCAATCACTTTTCCTTGAAATTCCATCTGACTGACCTTCACACACATGAACTTATGTTACTCTTTACCTTTTGTGGCTGTCAAAACAGATGACATCCTATTTACAAATTAAACTTCCCACCAAAGGACGATCCTGAAATGTTCTTTATTAACCTGACGGAGCACTGGTGAAAATCCACCTGAAGAGCAGCTAGTACCAATGGAACAACCCTGAAGTGTGTCCGATTACCTGAAGTTTGCTGACTCTGCAATTGTTAGTGTCATTTTCAGCACGTGTGTGTGCGTGTGGGAGAGAATGTGTGTGTGTGGTGGCGCTTGCGTGTGTGTGAGTCTGTTCATGCGTGTATGTGCGCGTGCGTTTGTGTTCACAATGTTACATAGGTTGTTGTGACCACGTTCTTGTGCGATGGACCATTAAAGGTGACAAGGTGTGATCATTTAAGGTATGTTGTGGTGTCAGTCCTACTCAACTGATTATAAACAGAAACACAGTAAACTGATTTAAACTGTCTTCAAAGGATCCCTTATTTCATTTCGTTATAACCGTAGTTCGTTATATGTACTCTAACTAAAGTATGAAGCAAGTGGCCAGGACAATAACACAGTTCGTTACATTCGTCAGTTTGTTATAGGATTGTTCTTTATATACTGAAAATCAAAAGAAACGTCGGAATATTGGATATGACATTTAAGTACCAATGGAGTATTTGAACCAATTTGTTTTAAATATACACCGGAAGTCAACTTTGAGGAAATCATGAATCGTGGTCGTATAACCTGTATTGCCCAATAAAGAATTGTTTGAGATTGAAGTTTGAAATGTTTTGTGTTTTTTGTGGAAAATGGAAGAGTTCGCACTAACACAACATTATTTTGCTTTTCAATATATATGCAGATTACGGTACATTTAATGTTACACACATGTTGACAATTTCATACCATTCTGTTCCAGCAGTTGCATAAACAGCTGATAGTCCCGGGGATCCTTCCGTTCCTTGAGGTAGTCCAGGAATATAGTCGTAGCTTTCATCTGTCGATCCATGTTTTCATTCTCCAGTATGTCTCCGATTTTCGCCCCAAAGCCTGTTTGAGTAATGAGTCATCAATAGCTGCACAATGAACTAAAGCTACAGTCCGTTTGAGTCAGAAACGGACCGATGAATTGCAAACTTTATCATTGTGTGTACTTGGATACTCTGAGGTTGTGTTCTTGCTTCAAATGTCTTTTTTAAAAATTTCAGCGACATGTATTTGTTTTCCAAATGTTTTAATTTGTGTGATTTTGACACGACCCCTACCTGCGTCGCATCACCCTCACAATGTTTGTGTTCGAGAACATTTGTCAGTACCCTTGCTGATACTCCTAAAGCTTTTGCTGCCCGCTTACGGAATTTATTAATGGCATAAAATGGTTTGCCCCTTTCGGCTTCAGCACGGCAAAAATCGTACACTTTAATCATCAACTGTTTCACGACAGCATTCAACTTCATTTTTCATCAGGCAAGTGTATCCCGTGCACGACGAGATAGTGGCTGTTCCGTTTCTGCGGTTTCACCCCGCCGCGACAGATAACAACTTTTGCGTTTTCGGTGATGTTAGTTTCTTAAACAACTTTTTTGGTGGAGTCCGGAAAATTTTCAAATATAAGAAAGCTGTTGGGTATTAGTAAATGATAAACATGTGTACTATTTATATTTATGTGGCAATTTTGTACAATGATAAAATTTGCAATTCATCGGTCCGTTTCTGACTCAAACGGACTGTAAACAGCGCTGACAAAACCCTGTCCCTATCCATAATTTGTTGTAACCCATTTCTGGTGTCCCTCGCCGTGATATTACTGGAATATTGCTAAAGGCGTAAAACCGTACTCACTCTTTGTTGTAATAGCTAACATGAGACACATTCAATGTTTAGGTCTTGAAGAGATACTCTGTGTGCTTCGATAGTTTAAATCCTATTTGTGAAGTTGGAATGGGTACATTTCTGTGATATTGGTACCAGCTGATAATTACGGGTGTGAAAAAAACCCGTCAAACGGACAAGCAACTACCATTATACTCATCAAAATGCCAAACCTTTTCATGCAGTTTTCTTTTGTTTTGCCCATTATCAGGGAACAAAATATACGTGACTCCAGAGCTCAATGGACCTACGTCATCCTTTTAATACAAAACTTTATTACATAAGTCATTACTCCGGCATCTGTGTTGGGCTTTTACTTAAAAACTTTTTTTTAAATAGTAGGGCCATTATTTATCCCAGTCTCATTGTTGTGCCACATATCTTTCCTGAAGCAGAAGAAGACGAAGAAGAACCAAAAGAAGTATATTGTATTTTCGAGTTCCTGCCCACATACATAGTTTACACAATATACAGTAACTTACATAATTTGATATTACATGCAGTATTACATCAATTTGGATAATACATGATTTCATAATGCGTTATTTTCTAAGATTGTTACATGCTATAAATACAATGACAGGCGTAGAATATCGGTATCATTTATAGGGGCCATAAAAGAAGATTAATCAATAAAGTAAGTAAGTACATTTTAGGTATATATACAGAATTCTCAGGTTCGTAAAAGTAAGATATGTAAAGACAAAGTGGGTTTCATTCTCTATGCCTCTTTTAGATAACATACAAGTCCTTTCATTTCTATTTTCTCTATTTTTCTACTTCTATCAATAATATTTAAATCTGACAACTACGTCACGTAATTTTCCAGACGTTAGTACGAAAAGGTATTTTTCGGGTTCAATAAGACTTTTAAACTACCTATAAGATTCATATCGCGTACTTTCGTTAAAATTCGAAGTTTGTAAAAAAATATCCATTGAACGTTCAAGAAATTCTTTCAAAACATACGAACATTACTAACTGCCTAGGACAACCAGACATTGCCATAGGCAGTATAAAAATAGGTTTCGAATGTGTGTAGGGGCGGTGGGGTAGCCTACTGGTTAAAGTGTTCGCTCGTCAAGCTGGTTCCATTCCCCACATAGTTACAATGTGTGAAGCCCATTTCTGGTGTCCCCCCACCGTGATTGTTGGAATATTGCTAAACGCGGCGTAAACTCAAACTCACTCACTCACTCACTCGAATAGGTGTAGACCTATCTTACCTAGGTTATCTTACCTACGTACCTACCATCTTTCCTGACTCATTGCTTCTAGCGGTATCTCAATTATGCGTAGATTGTTTACCTATTTAAAATGTATTTGTCTTCAGTGAACATATCTGGTATCCCTTTTTTTGTTTATAGATTGGGTGGTGGCGGTGGGGAAAGTGATCACAGAAATGAAATGCTCTGGCTCACCTGGGTCTCAGTGTGATGAAAAAACGGGTTTGCACACAAACAATACAAGTGTATGTGGAGTACGTAATGCACTGTGAACACACAAATCGATTAGCTGCTAGTTGACTTGGGGAAACGTGCTGTATTTCAATGAAACGAAACCGAAAGTAGGTTTATGGCTGTCCCACCTGTCAGGTCAAAACACACATAGTCGTTGATCGACGCTGGTTTGATTGCACTATCCAAACTCCACTGGTCGCTACTCCATAGCTACGAAACACGCTGCATGACAACCACCTAAATATCTATCCTGATTTGACACTGACAGGCCATCGCAAGCTTCGTCGGAGTGTACATGTAGAGATTATATATCGCCTTTCACCATGGCAACGATATGTCATCAAGTATGATACAGCGATATACCAGCGCATAATGTACCTATGTGTCAGCTTCTCATAATATGTTACACCTGTTTCCTGGGAAAATAAAATACATGCTCTCTAAGACACTTACTTTCAGGGAAACACATGCGTCCGATGAAGGAACCACATCGAACCTTCCTGATGATCATTTCCCGATATATGTCAACATTCTCCACAAGAAAGGCGGTGTTATTTGCATATTCTGTATTCACAGAATTATCTGTTGCCGCCTCTGCCATAGCGGCACGTATATCTCTCGCGCCTAGCTCTACAACAACTGTCAACAAGGACTTTCTAATTTTAGCAAACTGGAAAATCCACTGCATTTCTTGGCCTCTGATTGGATGATGTGCATAATGGTCGTTGTCGCCAGTCAAAGTGACCTAGTGTTCAGGGAGGTGCGGTGTTTGGGTTGTATTGAAATTACGGTTATGTCAGTGCAGTTACATTGTCATCTGACCTGTCCTTGGAGCAATGTCTTTAACAAAAAGTAGAATAAATTAATATGTCTGCAAATTACGTTATTCATGACGACAAAATTAGCTTTCCTGGGTCCTCTCGCCGCGTCATGATACACTCGTTCAAATCTCCCGTACGCGTGTTATTATTTTGGATCAATCATCATCCCCTACGGTGTCCTCTCACCTAGCCAGATTCTGTCCAAACAGGTGGGATTTGGCTGACTAGGGTTAGTGTTTTGATAACACAGTCCTGATGAGCCATAGTCTGTATCAACACAATGCTAAATTAGTGTGACGAGTGAAATTTGTATTAAAGTGGAATATATTGATATGGTATTATTTGAATTTCTTTAATTTTTTCATATATGTGTTTTGACAAAGACCTTTAAATTTCAGTGCACTCGTTTATAAATTTCACAGGTAGATTTGACCCAAAATATTTTGTTTATATAACATATACTGTTTAACAATGATTGGTGTCATTTTTCATTTTTGCAACATTTATATATAATTCACATTGTACATTCATCATGACATATTTACTCTTCCTTGCATTGTATCCCGGCGCGGTATTCATATAAGCTTATGCTTGTTTACCAGTCCTGTTCCTTTCATTGGAAATGAATACATGTATGTTTAAATCATAACGTTCACTCGAAAAAAACTTATTAATGAGTGGCGAAACTATTAAAGAAGTTGATAACCACCCTGTGACCAATACCCGTGCTCGGTGGGCTGTTTAGAGACCGTTCATAATTTATGGTCTGCAGGAGTGATGATGATTTTAAGGGTAGGGTGGGTGAGTGGTCACCCATCTTGTTCTGGGGAGGTAGGGGGTCATCAAGTTTGTACACATGTACTGGTGGGGTCAGCAATTTTATACACATGTACTGGTGGGGGTCAGCAATTTTGTACTTAAAAATGTCAAATTAAATATACTTAAAAATTAGGAGGTGGGTGGGGTGGTTGTTTTTGCACATATTTTGTACATGACATGCAGAGGGTCACTTACTTACACCCACCCAACCCCCACCCCCAACCCCCAGCCATAAATTATGAACAGTCCATAATGCTGTGGTTGGAGCAATTTTATATTTTATATTAACAGATATATTTTGTTCATTCCCATCACTTTCACTTGTTTGGTCAGGCTCACTGAACTGGCTCACATGTCACCGTATCCCACTTTCGTAGATGGATGTTCATGCTATTGATCACTTGATTGTCTGGTCCAGACTGCATTATTTACAGACTGTCGCCATATAACTGTAATATAGCATTCGTGCCTAACTCGTGTTATTCCGGGACAAGCCGAATAGCGACTCGTGCCCATCTGGAAGGATTTCATATTGGCGCATGAACAACAGAACTACCTTAAACAAGAACGATAACTCTATCCCTGTTTGATTCCAATGTTTCTAAAATTCACCGAAGCACATGTACACTGTATTGCTAGGTTGTTGTTTTTGGGTTTGTTACTTATTTATTTTAAAGAATTAAACCTCTTTGATACAACTAAAAGAAGGAGAAAAACATATTTGTTTAAGACATATTCTAATGTAATTATTACCAGCTGTTCACCTTATATTTCCAATAATGTTAATTTTCTTAATAGGGTTTAATCATCACAAATGAGAATATACATTGAATATACAAATAAAATAATATTTTTTTCAGCTACATTAAATCCCAAAGCAGATACTGAAAAATGACTTTAAAATATTTCTCAAACTGAACATTCGTGTAACCTTGCTGTCACACCCCTGGTGGAATTTTAAATGAATTCGCTGAAAAAAATATGAATGACCAAAAAACAGTCAGACTAAAATATCCCCAGAGCTATGAAATATAAGCCCAATGTTAAAGATTAAGGTTGATTAGTTACATACAAATACGATATTATTGTTTTGAAACTCGTAGCGATTATAATTACATTTGCTAAAATTGGTCGAAGCGCACGTACAATCTCCATAACAAGCCCGCAAGATCGTCAGAAATACACTCAGTTGGGCCCATGAGAGCAGTTATGTCAACAAACGCACGTTCGTGTATTTGAATCTCTCACCGTCAATCGCATGATTCTTATTAAAAACTTCATAAAGGCAGCAAAATCCTTTTAGCTACGTTCTTTGTACTTTCAATATGACGATATATATTTTTCATGATTTTTTAAACAATGACATAATGCCATAACGATTTAAGTAGTCAGGATTATTTTTATCAAAGCACCGCGCTCATTTACGCACGATCTGATTGGTTTGTCGTATTTTCGCACAAAACAAGTATCGATTGGTGGACGAGTCTTCTTGGAGGTTATGGAAAGGGGCGAGTGGTGACGAATAGTACTATAGATGAGTGCGGCGTAACCCCCCCCAAAAAAACAACCACAACAAAAAACCAAAACCAAACATACAAATAACAACAAACAAAAACAAGAAAAAAAAACAACAACAAAAAACAAAACAAAACAACATAAACAACAAAACAAAAACAACAACAACAAAGCCACCAACAAGTAATCATACATCTATTTTCGGTATAAAGGGTTTTAAAACAAAATCAGTAGGATTAATATAACAGTGGAATGGGCTTTTATTTTACACATGAACACTAGTTAATACAGGATCTTCTCTTACATTCTTTGCACAATTCATCTTGTGTTGTTTCGATAATGCAGGCCATCCTGCCCATAATTCAGAAACAAAGCTGCACCTTTCTACAGTCAGTACGTTACTGTCAATAAATGTTATTGATTCTTTTCGTAGTATTTTTCAATGCCGTGTGTTCTTACACTGAAACTATGAAATATGTACACACCTAGTTTCCATGCATGTTGCCTGTTTCAGATTTTTATGATGTTGATGACGTTAAAATATTTCTACCAATTACGAGGTGTCAACTCATTGAATCCAATCACGGTCATTTGAATAAAATAGTTTTATCTTGAGACATTATGTGCTAGGGCTGGGACGGGTAAGAAAAAATGGAATCGAGTACCCGGAAATGTAAGGAATAAAGCGCTTCTGTCAACTTTCTGAATATGCAATCACGAGTTGACGGAGATTTGTATACAAACCTTGAAAGGATGGCAATAAGACACTGAAATTGAACGTAGGCTATTTAATTTACGTCTATTTAACAAATATAGAGAGTAACACCATTACATGCATTCCTCGTTAAAACACAGGACTTTTCGTTACCGCTGTTACTGTAACTTGACTCCTCACTGCTCATGCTCAGACATATCCAGTCGTTAATAATGACCTCCATTAGTCGGACAAAACCAATGATGGAAATGTGTGTTACGTCAATAATAAAAAAGAGAAGTTATTATGTGCCCTTGCCATTACAGAGTTCTCTCCTTTTCCGGGTACTCTATTCCTAGAAATAGTTCTCGACTCCAGCTGTACCCGACCCGGATTCGAGTACCCGAGTACCCGTCCCAGCCCTATTATGTGCATACCAATGCGATGTGCTACGCTTCAATTTTCCCAGTAAGCACAAACTACAGCCAGTAATACCTGGTCCACATCTTCTTCCGACATATGTAATTACTGTCTTTTCCCCATTTCGCAATAAACAAAAATGTCGTTTACATTCCCGTTTTTATTCATGAACCGTTAAAGCATATAATAATAGTTATGTGCGAGAAATGATTATGTATATTCATGACATAAGACAGTTCACTTGATTTACGAATGCTTGTTATGTAACTTCCAAATCCAAGCAGAATGTTATCAAGAAACGAAATATTATCATCAGCTTGTTGTGTGATCCACATCAGCCCAAACCCTCAGCGACTGATCCTGTTTGTACATGCCCGGGGCGGTGGGGAATCCGAGTGGTTAAAGCGCCCCACCGTCACACCGCTGACCAGGGTTCGATTCCCCACATGGGCACAATGCGTGAAGCCCATTTCTGGTGTCCCCGTCGTGATATTGGAATATATTGCTGGAATAAAGCAAAAAGCAGAGTAAAATTAAACTCACTCACTCACATTTGATGCCCAAGTTAGATGAAAACATGGACCTAAAGGGTCACGTGATTTCATTACCATGCATGTAACACGGGTCATTTTACTTTTTGCTTTTTGCCTAAGAATAAACTTCAAAGACTACCTTGACAAGTCGGGAAAAGATTTTTACCGTGGTTACATATATTAGAACACGTTTTACCTTAAAAAAGCATTGAACATTTTTTCTCGTTTCCTTGATTGGGAGCCGACCACATGGTGTTAGGACGGGATTTGTCACAAAATACTGGACAAATGAAGAAATGTGTACGTCTTCTTTTTTCAAATTGCATAATGCGTCTTATAAATCAATCACTGAAATTAATAGTAGTACCCAAGCGATGCATAAAAACCTATTGCAGACTGTGTAAATGATAACGCGAAAATACTTTCATAGCCAAAGAAGTGCCTACTTAAAGTAGACGATAAGTTATGAGAATCTTTGTTGACGTGCCTGACGCTTGGCTTAAAGCAAGGATTTCCCGGCTTGGAGTCAGTGTACTGCGTCAAGTGAGTGGGTGAGTATAATTTTACGCCACATTTAGCGATATTTCAGTAAGATCAGGGCGGGGGACTCCAGAAATGGACTTCACACAATGTACCCATGTGGGGAATCAAACCCGGGTCTTCGGCGTGACGAGCGAACGCTTTAACCACTAGGCTACTAACCCCCCACCCCGCCCCGTAATTTGCCAAAGTGTAGGTTACCAATGCGATACTATGTCATGGTATTTCAGTGGCACATCACTACAAAATCTGAAGTAGTGTAGTACAAGCGACTTCAAGCGATTAGCTCA